TCCAGGTCACTTAAAAATGTTTGGTGAGGACAATCATGCTATACCATTTTCGATTTTGTCTAGGGACGTTCCCAAAAAAATAAAATAAAAAAATGAAAAAAAATAAACATAACGAAAACAAAGTTGACAAATCGAATAGATTTGCCACGCAAAAAAAAAAATAAATAAACATAACGAAAACAAAGCGTGACAAATCGATAGATTTGCCACGCAATAAAATATTTTTCGATTTTCAATAGGGTTCATCTTTGGGTGGTTACGAACACTCACACCAAATTTCAAGAATTGAGTGTTGTAGAGTGTTTACGAGCAATTGTGGACGGACGGATGGACAAGGACGACGACAATATACGATCATATTATAATGTGGGCGTATACAAACGAACAGAATCGAGTCGAATGCAGTAAGGTCCGTATTTCCATGTAGGCAGAAACATTCTATGATTCTAGATAAAGTAGACAAGACTACTATATAATAGTCTAAATAAATCTAGTAATATATATGCACAAACAATATCATACATAATGATCTTTACAAATTATAAACAGATGTGTTTTATTAAATTTAACAATAAAATGGAAACACATTTTCTTATCTGGCATAAACAATAAGTTTAATAAAAACAGTATAGTTATAAACAAACTGTATGTGTATTACACAAGTCAATGGTCAATATGACGATTTCAACATGCGTTTCATTTATTCGAATTCGGCTTAAGAAAATACTCTTCTGTTTAAAAAGAAGCCTGGGATAATGCAGGCCTACTGTAATTAAAGTGCTACAACAAACCTAGCATCAATCTGTATATAGGCAAGTACGCTTACACTTTGAACTGAAGTGATGGTTTGGAGTAGATAGGGGCGAAGAATAAAATAAGCATAACCTTTCATGATGAGCCATTGAGATAGGCACGTATGATTGGTCAATATATAGTATATACTATATAAATAGTCTGATACGCGGTGATGAACCGAAATATTTTCAAGAGGCTAATTAGGCGTACTTACTAAAACATGAACCGACATGAAATGAGAGGAAAGACCAAAAAATGACCACCACAACCAATGAAAACGTGAAACGACCACGAGCAATTTTGCGAAACCTCTGTCTCTATTCCAGTCTCTGATAGCAATTTGGACAGTCAGATGTCAGCTGGTGTAGAGCATAGAGTTATAAATAGAACTTATTATATACAAATATGGTGTAGAGACAGAAATGATAAGCCATTTTAATTGGAACATTCCGCATCTCCGCAGGTACGGGGGTTTCAAACATATTTAGATACCTCGGATCTGCAAAATCCAGATTTATTTGGAAAGATGAATATTTTTGTAGTTCATCATACCATCATTTTCTCCCTACACCATTTATGCCATGTGTCCTGCGAAACTGATCTTGCATCGCCCATTTAAAAGTGCGTGCGCAACCAAAAGTTCATAGGTCACAGAGTCACGCGATACTAACAAAACAAATCATCTTAAATGTAACTCAATATTATGTTAGAGAAAACGCATCTTTGGAAGTTGGGAAAATCCCTACTTAACGGTCTTTTTCTACTGACTCTACTGCCAACCGTCAAAATGTCCATCAGAGGCTGGAATAGAGGCAGATGTTTGGGACTATTTTTGCGATAAATTCTATGCAAGCTAATTGGGCCTTTGAGGTTGATTCGAAAACTGGTAGTGTTTTGAATATACTAAAACCCTATTTCGTTATGAATGGTATTCATTGCCAACTAATTTCAGATAATGGACCTCAGTTTTCGACATTCGAATTCAATCATTTTGCAATTTTACTGAAAATCTGAAAGTCCTCGAACAACACAGTGTTAATCGTAACCTGAATCGAAACGTCAGAAGGATAAGCAACCTATTTTTCTTTACGCCACTTCAAAATATAAATTGATATTATCACTACCGATACTTTTTTTTAAAGAATATAATATTTTCAAAAAGAAGACAATTTATTTAATCTGTTTATTAATTATATCATTAACTATGACGTCATTAAAACGTTTCCTACTTATGGAGTTAAATTTCCTTCATAATTTTACCCTTTCCAAAGTAGTTACAATGGTTCTTTTAGAACACATGATGTGCCTATGTGAGTAAAGTAAACGATCCGAACGGTAGGCTAAAACGCAACCCGAAATCCAAAACAAAATGTTTACGAAACAAAGGCAGCTGCTAATGTACTTTTGAAATGAGGAAGTATATCAATCATTAATGGGTAAGTAAACACCTGCAACAATATTTCATTATATTGTCGATCATATAAGCCTACGTCAAATAGCATAGTTACTGTTGTTTTGAAATGATTTCGGAAAAATTTCAATCTATAGATTGATCAGTAAACAGTAGCAGTTCACTCCCAGTTCGTCACCATAGCAATCCATGTGTTTTCATAGCACTTTGACTTCAAACTATGGAATATAGAAATAAAAGGAAAAGAAAAATGATGTCATACAATGTCATATAGCAAGCAGATATGTCATAAGACGGCACAGTAAAACCCTGAGAAATCCTAAATACTGAGTTAGGAGGAATGGTGTTGGTGAACCTATATTGTGTAAGTAATTTGCACAGCTGCGCTTTGATGAAAATTCAATACCATTGATTGAAATGATTACTCTCCTCTTTATCGTTTAGTATGAGTTATTGTCCTTGTTCTTGAAAACGCGTTCAATTTTTAGCGCTTTCACGCTCTAGAGGGTTCAATTATCGACAGATTTTGATGAAACTTGGTAATATTATTCAGTATCGCCTCAAAATGTTCAAAAGAAGTGTATGACTGAAGGTTGAATATTTCATACTGGTGATTGTTACTGTACTGCTAAATATTTTTTTTGAAATCAAAGCGGCCAGTGGGCAAAAATCTCACAACTATATTAGAAATTCGGGCAATCTCAGATATTTCGCCCCCCCCCCCCCTCCCCGGACATAAACCTGGCTCCGCCACTGTTGCCTGGCAAGCTATATTTTGAGTTATTGCCTTTGTCATATTTGGCTTCTAGAGGGACAGGCTCATCCGATCTTGTTGAAACTTGGTACGCACGGCAAGATTAATGATATCCCAGTCACTCTGTGATCGATCTAAAACATGGTTCAGCCTTTGACTAAACCTTCAATCATGACAAAGCAGAACTGTTGAAGGTGTTAATCATATGATAAACTTTTAATATCATCTTAAAATACATCACCGGATTAACATTACATAATATTAATATCATAATTTATTACTAAAAAACAATTACCTGAGTTTCCAAAAAATTTTAATAACATATTTTATTTTTACTCATTCTTCTTCCCATAATGTATTGAACAATATTATGCATTAATGTGGATTCTGTTGATTGGCGATTCATAACTTCTCATTGGATCGGCCGCGGCCAACATTTGCGAGACACTCATATGAAAGATTGACTAGCACCTGCAATATTTTAGTAATCGGCGCGCTCACGATAACCTTGTGCGATTGATAAGGATCTACCAGATATCACCAGTTGCCAACTATATCCATGAAATGCCTGTTTCTCTCAGATTCTGATACACGCAACCGGCTCACCCCTCCTTTGTTAATTAGACGGACACGCATCTAAATCAGAGAAATGTTTTTATATGGTTTTGATCTTTACAATGTATTTGTCGTCATCAATAAAGTCATAAATAAACCAAGTACTAACGATCCGAACCGCAATCACACAATGGTTGCCATGGTTGGTAGATGAATGCCCCTATGTAAAATTTTTGTTGTTGAAACTTGAAAAAAATGATATCTGTAGAACATCAATTGCATAAGGTAAATTGTCAACTTGCAAGAAATAATTGAAATTAGTGATAGTTAATTCAAAATGATGGTCGATAATGTCAGTCAAGCAAAGTTCAAGAAAGTTAATTAACACTGTTAACAAATTGGGTGACATTTGATATTTTCTTCTGTTTTTCTTTGTCTAAAGTTATGGTTAATACTGGGATAAGCCCAAATCGTTTTAGAGAAATCATACCATTATCTTGTCAAATTAAAACCGATGGTCAAAGAGTTATAGTGAAGTAACAATACGGAGTAGTCAGAAAGATCCCCTTTGAAAGATATTTTGACCTCCGGTATCAACAATATCTTTATTTTCTTGATTCACAACTGTCAGTCACTCATAATTGACCATTTGATATGTTGTTGACTTTTAGTCTCTGAAATTAGTTAATTAAACTTATTCAGTTTTCATTAGCTTTCATCTTCCAAGCTCACTTCTTTATAAAAGCTGTTTTTTCGGCAAGTATTATCTGTTGCTCCATATTCATACGGTAGGTGATCATCCGTCGCATTTCTTACCGTCAGCGAAACATCGGTATCTTCAGGGTTTATGGTGGACCGAACTGATGGTTTTTGAAACCTTTTTCGAATTGGAATGATTAAGACAACTACGCCGCCAACGATACAACATCCACCTCCCAAAACAATTCCAACGCCCAAACCATAGCTATCTTCTAACGATCCTATAAAAATAAAATAACACGTGCTACCGAAGAAATAAATGATAAGCTAAAAAGTTTCACATACTGCTTTTGACTCCCATAGACTGTTTACATTCATTCTGTAAACTGGCATGCAAAAAGGCATGGAAAGTGATCAAATTGATTTTACATTGGCCCCGAAATAAATTACAAGGTACATTTTTAACACTTGTCGAATATTGATATTTGGTACTTTTATGTATATCAGGAGGTTTCAACCTTTTTTTACCCGTCCATGATCCTTGATCAATTGCATTACCTTCTTTGTATCTATATGATTTTCTTTCATCTTTTTCCATGTCGAAGTATATAGCCTGACTGAATAGAATGACTTAAGTTATACTTTTTGAAAAATGTTATGCTAGACTACAAAGCGCCTCATTACCACCCAAAACAATTCACAATTTTTCCAGATGTATTTACCCCCTGGTTTATAATAACAAGCCAAGGTTTTATATAGTTTATATGCTATACATATTGAATAAAATTAGAAGAAATAGAATTTCTTACCTGCTATGGAGGGTCCTAAGAACGCCCCAAGTCCGTTTGCTATCATTATTACACCTACACCGTCTCCAAATAGTTCTGGACCCAGAATATCAGCTAGAAGAGCTAACAGGTATCCAAGTATTATTCCAATGAAAAACCCGCATAAAATTGATAATGTGATATAGAGGTGTATTCCTGAAAATATTGGCATCAAAAGCAGCGAAACCCCAGCCAGGACATTGACTAAAGCAAAGGTATAATATGAATTAAGTCTTTTGATATTGCTCAATACTCCACCTGTCAAACATCCAACAAAACTTCCTAAACCGTTTAATGTCACTATGAAGGCACTGTCTATTTTTGAAATACCCTTTTCAACACAAAATTCTGCTAGTAGAGCTAATATTATACCAAGTCCCATATTCCAAAATATATTATTAACAAAATACACCAGAAAATCTATATCCGTTAAGATGTATTTGACCAATTTTTTTAAATACGGCATCTTGCGATCGTCTGTATTGGGAAGCGGAACCACCGTTTCTTGAGCCACAACAAACTGTACGTCTTCTTCCGTCCCCACAAGTGCGACTGGAGTAAGTTCCTTTGTAATATTATTATCAATATCCGATATCACCACCCTTAATCGAAGTTTTGACACGCTACCCTTCTCAACTGCATCACCAAGGTTGGAACTAATGGAGGGTACTTCAGACTTCGATATGATTTTGGTTTTAGCTTTCATCGGTACGGGACGTAAGAGTGCACCAAATACCATTATATTTAAACTAACACCTGTCAAAATTATCAGAGATCCTCGCCAAGTGTATTCCTCGATAAGATATGCTATAACTATAGGACCAACCGTAATTCCTAAACCAGATCCTGCAGTGGCTATACCTGTTGCTAATCCTCGTTTCTTATCATAATACAAACCACTTAGTACATGCGAGGGTACGTATGCAAGACAGCCACCCAATCCTGGAAAGTAAATTGTAAATATCACAAAGCTGTATTTCTATATCCAGCAGCATTGTCACGAAGCTTGCAGATATAATCAAGAATCAAGAATCGTGAATAATCAACATAGCATCAGGTCGAGCATCTTGGTTTCTCCCAACTCTTTAAACAAAACTGACAAACTTCAAAAATAAGTAACAACCTCCATTCATTGGTAACCGGAGGTTACATTTTTTTTATCCCGGGTTGAAATAATAAACTTTGAAATTACTCACCATTTACAACTCCATAGACAAAATATAAATAATTGATACTTGGTAACCATGGTATAGCTAATATACCCATTGAACACATCAACCCACCAAAAATAACCACTTTTCTATGTGAGAATCTGTCCATTAAATAGCTAGCCAGAGGACCTGAAAATTATATGCAGTTTGATATTAAGAGAATTAATACATGACTATAGCATGTTCGTAGACATGTAGTGATGTTTTTATGAATCATAAGGTTACGGGGACGATTGAGTGGGGGGGGTGGAGTGTAAAGCCGGGCTAGCCTCGGGTCTGACCTATATCACAACCACCACTACTCTACAAGTAGAAACTCTAGTGGCCGTAGATCCAATTCGATTGTTAATTGTCATTTTACCGAGAAATCGTTCCGGAAGAACGAGCTGCTATCTAAGAGCGTGGCTTGGTCGCTGCAGGTGGTACACAGTCGAAGGTTGACCGAGGGTTGATTCCGACATGGATATATACATCGAGATTTCCAATTGCATGTGGCACATACCACCTTCTCTTAAAATCACTAGCAATTTCCTTCCACTCCGCAGCTGTGCTTGGACAGGGAATAACTTCAGGCTTGTATTCATACTTATTGTCCATCTTTGGACCCTCCTCTGGAGCCTGACCTAGACAACATCGTTAAACATCTCTGGGGCCAAACGGAGTTAGGTTCGGTAGGTATAGCTTCATAACCCAGACTCAGTTGGAGGAGAACTGACCATAATGTTCCCTCTGGCGTTCATGCAGCCAGGGAGCAACCCAATATTTCTTAATGGTCTACTTTTCTCTCCTCATCTTCAGCATGGTTAGCATAACCAGGAAGTCTTGCTGCAGTTGCAAGACATGGTGCTGTAGTATTGTTTAGTATAATCGTGCATCGAAACTAATTTCCACGGGGTAACAAAGAATTGCCTAATGCCTTAAGTAGTTTTCACAAGTAATAAGTATAAAGATTTCAGAGAGAAGAGCGTATATACTAAGCTGTCATTGACATGTCATGGTATTACAATAGGGAGTTGCATAAAGAAATGGGTTTATAAGGGTAGATTAAATTATAAACAATAGGCTTTTGCAAAACAATAGATTTTATAGACAATAGATGAACAGCATATAGGTCGGGAGAATTCGGGATATTGGAGGATTCACTGCTTGCTTAGGAGAGAGGTAACATCATAGGTTAGGAAGAAGGGAATACTTAGGTAGTATCTCCCGATTCGGTTTATACTCTGAGTTAGTGATTTGTAAATAAAGTGTTTGTTAATATTGTTATTATTAGTATCCATTGAAGAATGTATACCGTTTGTAAGAATAATCTAGCTTACATTCCGCAAGGAGATACACATCAAGAAAATAGCTTACAGCTACCATTACAGTTCCAGTTATATTAATAAACGTTGGCTAACAACTACGTTACAACGTTGCAGTGCTGTAATAACATAGCATGATGCAGAGAAATTGGGTCCATGCTGTCCCTTTGAAGGCTGGTCAAAAACTGATGATCGGGCCTTTCTATAAGATCTCGGTTGGTTGCACGCAAATCCGGGCGACCGTGACAAATTTGCGCGTAGACATTTATATCGTATCTAAATCGGCTGAGGTCGCGAACATTGATCGTATTAAGATCGCATCAAGTGGATAGACGAAAGTAGAGCATAATAGGGCGTCTACAGAGCGTACATAGGACGCAGTTAAAGCGTACACATCGAAGGTAGAATGAGCTAACATCTCTTTCAAAATAATGTATTTTACCTGCGACTAACGGGAAAACACAGCTGCGATTATAGTCGTGCGTGGAAATGACCCCATAAGGTCAAGCAAAATTGGTTCTTAATACAGATAATTCATCTTAATATTGCATGCCGTAGATAGGTAAATGAATTTTGTTCTTAAATTGCCTGTGAATAACCCTGAAAGCTATGATAATCTCTCTGCTAGCTATAGTAAGAACGTTAAAATTGTTGTTTTGACTTCTTGTGCCTGTAGACGATTTGATTGGGAAGAGCAAGGGAAGGGCCAAGATCTTGCGCATATTTAACGACACAAATCATCTCCTCTTTCCTGTAAAACTGTCTCTCGTAGCACACTGCATTGACAAGAACCTCTTAATTTTCAGGACTGATGGTAAACGTTTATCATTCAAAATTTGTTTACATCTATTATTTAACATCACGAAGAATGCTTGTGGATAATAAAAGGTCCACGTTAGGCTAGAATTCGAACAGATTCTCGTGCATAACGTGATGTTGTGCATGGTTTGGAATAATTAGATGCAAATCATCAAATCAGAGGGAAGATAACGATTTAAATGGAGAATTTTTGAGTTTATAGAAATTATTAAGTAGATGAAAAGAAATAACGAACTTCACCTATTTCACGGATTTATCTTCGCCCATGTCTGACCCCGTCTGATAATTTTTCGATTTAGTCTTCTCTGAATTTTGCTTTTCTGCTCGATAGATTAACGTTTCTCGAATTATTTACCGAATTATACCAAATAACGTTTTCGATTTTTACTGCCAAACTGCAATCAGATAATAGGCTTAATTTCAACCTGGATCCTAGTCAATACATGTCCGAGGTCGGAGGAGCTGATATCGATAAAGCGCCTTGTTTCCTGGTGGGTACAATAAACTAAGGCTACATGCTCTATCAACAATAGACATTGGTGGAGTGATACCCTCTGGACAATTCTGTAGCTCCGCGACATCTTATTTAAGTAGCCTAATATAATGGTTTACAGATAGATATGGTATATTGCAAATCATGTCGTAATAAGAGTTTACCCAGATAAGTTATAGAGGCATTATAAATCAATCCAAATAGAAATACTAATAGACGTATTTTCACTAACCTGTCCCAAGAAATACTCCCAGGTTTATTGAAGAAATCAGTGAGACCTCCAAAGCATCAGTTTCAAAATCATCCAAAAACTCTACATTGTAAACACCTATAGAACCACTGATTCCAAAAGCAATAAACTGAATCATGAAAGCTGAGAGAATGATAACTAGTCCCCATACACCTCCTTCCATGTTGGCTATATCCCGACATCTCATCTTGGTAATAAAAAACTTACACAAGTCCTTACACAATAATACTGAACATCTAAGAAACCATAGAGTTAGAACAATTACAATTTCAACAAACTTAATGAAAACGTGCTAGGAAACTTAAAAGATTGTATATATTCAGTTTTATGTAAACAAAACGGTACACATGATGGTATGTCTATTGCATCAGGCACGAATAGATAACGTTTTATCTCAAGGGGTATTCTGAACCGAGCTTGAACAACATAAATGGCCAGTCATATTATCTTATAAATTTATTACCATCTGTAATAACCATATTCGTGTTTAAACATCAATTAATTTTTTTCTCGCTCTACTCATCTTTGTATTTGGTTGATTATATACGCTTTGTGCATTGTTTTACGCGTTAGGTGCAGTATTATGTACGCTAACAGTGCGACAAGGTGATGTAGGCCTATGGTGTCTGGTGCGATGGTACGGTCTGGAAACGATGCTTGCACAATTTACTCATTTCGACTCCAGGACCTGTAATTTTATACACTATTACTAGTAGTATTTATTGTTCCGTAAAACAAATATAATCTTAAACAAATTTTAAACATACATATCTGATATCTGAAGTAGCCTATATGTCAGCGTATGGGGGAACGTCGATGACTAAAATACACGTCCGTTACTATAAATATGGAAATAAAAAAGTAAAATAAAGCGCCCCATGCTGTACCATTGTTTGAGGCTTTTGAAATGAACTTTACGTAATGATTATACACCTTTTTGTCAAAAATATCATTTCAACCAAACTATTGTTACTAAGAAAATAAAAGGCTTAGATAGCACTCTTACATAGCATTGTAGGTCTCATTGTGTGTTTTATTTCATATTTTTATACGAGTTTATTGTCGCCATCCACGTTAACTCAAGAATAAACCCTATCGAAAACTGTTACATAACGAAGCTAGTTATCATGGAAAAGGGTAGAATACACAAAGTTGAGTGACTCTATGTAAGAGAATAATCGACTGCACTTATACGGTTACAGTAATTTCCTTTTTTGTTCAAAGAATCAATTCAAATCGTTACTCAAGGTGGGTTTACAAAAACAATATTCTTCTTTACACCATTGTTTAGCCTTCCGTTAACATAAACCGGCAAACAATATATTGAAAGCTATTATTTGTCTGAACATGTTCTGTAACCTGTTTCAAACTTCATCCAAAAGATTTTGTGGTTGCCATTGACCATGAAAATGGTGGCGAGGGTCATTTGATTTTTTTCTCCATTGATCAAAATGGCTGATGAGAGGGAAATGAGTATACATGGTACGGATGAAACTGATCAAGGTCAATGTGATTATAATGCTAATTTATCAGTGCAAGCATGGGACATGCTTGTATCAGGGGAAACACCCTGGCCTCGAAGACTACACAGATATAGACAAGAAGGCCCAAGCAACGCAAACACTGACAAACTATCTGGCCTTCCATATTCTTGTCTTCTTTTCGGTTCGTCCTTTCGTCTCGAGTAAGTTAATCAGAGATTATCGTCCAGCCTCCTCGTTCATCGCCTTCTTTGTTTTGGGTAATTCCTCCAAAATTGACAATATTTCTCACAAAATTTTTGTTTAAACCTCCTTCAGGAGATGATGAACATGGTTGATGAAATTTGCCTTGGGTTGAAAGCGGTGACAGTTAAAAACAATTACTCGTCCGAATAGGCATTCAAGGTCAGCCATAGCGATTAAAAGGCTGGTTGAAATAAGTTGCAGCATATAAGTTGAAACAGATACAGAGCATATTGTCTAGGCAGGCTACCACTTGATCATTTTGGTAGCCAATGTTTGATTACAGGAAAGGGGTGAAAGGGTTGAAAGAAAAGGAGTTGGCCGTGTAAACCTACCTTAAATACTTGTCATATAATATATATCATGGTGTCAACTCTCAAAAAATAGGGATCAACTACCAAGAAGATCTCCATATCTGGTCATGAACATTGTGACGATACGATGGACGAATTGGATGACGCCTGAGATGTCGGGGTAGTCTTTCTCTCCGTAATTCAAAATTTAAACATTTACTGCAAAATGTAAGGTACTTCAGAATAAAAAACCTGGGTAAGATTGTATCTCAGAACACATGTATTTAAAGTTTCATTTATAACCACACCAGTATGTCTATTATTAATGAAACTTCAGAAACCTTTGCTCAGAATAAAGAGCATGTCTCGTGTTAAGGGGTTATACTGAATTCGAATTCACATGCAGACAAAATTGCCATAAGTTTATATTATTCATTATAAAATATGAAAAGTTGGAAACCAAAATCATTGCTTTAGATTCATGATAGAAATTGGACAGCCGTACACGTACACATGTAGCCTAATGCCATTAGCTTTGTTTTTCTGTATGAGGGATGCGATTAGATAAAATATCACTATTGATATTATGTTTTCGTTGGAAGATAGTGTTATATAGTAGTTTCCTTGGTCAATGGCTCAGCAAATTTTTGACCAATTTTGTCAATGTTTGTGTATAAATATATGTCAAATCTACGACGATCGTATAGCACTCGATTCGCTATATTTTATTTTATGTATTTTCGAGGTTAGATTGGGTGTTTTGATAAATAAAAAATAGGTCTTTCTGATTACGATATCAGTTTCAGGGGATCATACTTTCAAAATGTTTATACTTCTTTGTAAATACTTAGGGTTTCGTAATGGTGAAGATATGTAACTATAGGTTTTGTCGGTTATCTTGAACAATTTTTAGTTATAAATTATAGAATAATCTAAACGTTAATAATATAAGCAGGTGGTTTAATACTATACTAAATTAATTCTAGTGAAATATTTATAAAGGCGTTTCTACATCTTGCATAAATCTTATAAATCTACAAAGTTACAGGTTACTAAAGAGATAATTACCAAGGCAACACAAGATTCCAAACCAAACTTTCAAGGAGACTTGGAAAAGAAGAAGACACTATATTTTATACATGTTCATTAACAATAGGTCTCTAGTACCATACTGTTTAACAAGGTAGATGTAGAATTAAAATGTATAAACTATCTGACTATCAGTGAAATGTGTCAATCAAAGAGAGTAGGCCTATCAGTGACTCGGGGGATATATCAGGGGAAATGGAAATTATAAAAATATCTGACTATCAGGAGAGGTCTCAATTAAAGAGAGTATCTGACAATCAGGAGAGGATGTCCATTAAAGAGAGTATCTGACTATCAGAGGAGAGTGTCAATTAAAAAGAGTATCTGACTGTCAAGGGAAGGTGAAAATTAAACAGAGTATCTGGCAATCAGGTGAGGATACAATTAACACGAGTATCTGACTATCGGGAGAGGGTGTCAATTAAAGAGGGTATCTGACAATCTGGAGAGGGTGTCAATTAAAGAAAATATCTGACTATCAGGAGAGTGTGTCAATTAAACAGAGTATCTGACTGTCAAGGGAACGTGTAAATCAAACAGAGTATCTGACTATCAGGAGAGGTGTCAAACAGAAAATCTGACAATCAGGAGAGGGTTTCAATTAAACAGAGTGTCTGACAATCAGGAAAGGGGTGTCAATTAAAGAAACGTATCTGACTATCGGGAGAGGGTGTCATTTAAAGAAAGTATCTGACTATCAGGAGAGGGTGTCAATTAAAGAAAGTATCTGACAATCAGGATATTTTCAAAATAAGGGACGCAACTATAGATCTATAACAGAGCCGTATATAGAGAGAGTCTGGCAAACTTGTGATCTCGCCGCGCTGAACCATGATTGGCGCAGAGCGGTCACGTGATTGAAGGCCGACATATTGTTACCCTTCCCGCGACGTTTAGGCGTAGGTGTAACGGTTTACAAGGATGCATAACGAACGCACCTTGGTTTACGTTCTGCCTCGGATATTGGGGCGTCAAAAAGTTTCAGTGGACTACAAGGGTCTCTACTGGCTAAATCACACAATTTCATATTCATACAGTCTTTATTAAAACGTAGCAAAGTTGTTATGAGAGATGAAGGCGTATTTGTAATGAAATCTACGTGAAAACTGAAAGTAGAAAAATGACAATATTTTACTGACTAACTATTCTCACATAAACGGAAATATAAAACATATTACCGAAGTACAATATTTACGTTATCAGATATATATTCGGAAACTATTTATACTTAAAAAATTAATAATTGTAATAATATTTAATGGCGAATTATACCTCCTTGCGCCTTTTGACGAGTCCCAACATTAAATTGTTTGTTTACGAAAAATACAGCATGGCGAATAAGGGAGAAACACTTGTTATTATCATACACTTAAAATAAGAGAATTACTACATTCTATCTGAATATAAAGACACAATTCCTTCTCAATTAACGTATGACATATTGTATAATATAAACGTACAATTATATTAAGTATTATAACGTAGGGTAGGTTAACTGACACAGAAACACGTATATAGAAGTACGGAGATAATAAAGCCTCCCATGTTTACCCTGTATTCGAGCGATTCACCCAGATAACATAGACCACGGTTACATGGCTCCTCAAAATGAAATTTATTTAATTTTACTAATAAACGAACAGTACGTAAAAATGCACGAACACTAGATCATAACAATACGAAGCTTATGATTGGATACGATACACATTGCACATTTCGAAATATCGAATGAACTATCGATACATAGGCGAATTTCGAACCAAAAAGTATAAATATACTTTAAACATCCAAACCATAAAAGACGTAACTTATGATAAGGCAGTACAAATCCAAAAACCTAACGTATAAACATAACTATTATGAATTTAAACTCTTTAGGCTCCTCGATGGGGAATTCCCCGGTATCAATTTTTAACTAATAACACCAACTTATGAATTGGTCGAAGAAACAGGACGTATACGTTTTCCACTATTACTCAACGAAGCATCACCATTCATGAGAGATACCTTTCTCACATGTCCATCAGGTTCAGGTTCAGCCTTAACAACCTTAGCTA